TAGTTTCTCTATACTCATATGATAAAGCACCAATGATATTTTTTGTACCTTTTCTGGTGATCCCCTTTCGTCTATAATATCTGCTCAAACAAGTATAAAACACAAATAAAAATAAAAAAGCGATATTGACAGTGGTTGGTTCTTGATATGTATAAAGAGTATTATAACTTAAACCTTCCCTCAAATAAAGATGGTTCAAACTCAACCCGTCGTCATAAATTTTTCATCACACCTCCCATTAATATTTCATTCCTTTTCTTCGTTCTAACAGGTGTGTGTTTTTTTTAAATGAATCTGTAAAGAGTTTCTACTTATGACTTGTTCCAAATAAGTTTTTAACATATAGTATTTCTTGCTATCTAAATAAAGGTCTGATATCGAAAACCTAGGTTTCTGGCATTTAATGCTAAATGATTAAAATCTTTTTTTGAGTTGTCATCACTTAGTTTTTGTCATTTAATGTTTACATCTTTCATGTGTAAGAAATAAAAAAGATTGATTGACGTTACTGATTTTATTTCCATCTTTTGTTTAGATTATTATTAGCTTTATTGATCTCAATAATCATCTTCTCATTTAATGTTGATTGCCATTTCTTTATTATTTTTAATCGGTGTTTAATGTTGAACGTTTCTTCCCTTAAATGTATTGATTTAAATTTTGAAATCTTTTCCATTAACGTTGATTAAAATAAAAAACTGAGTATTTCAATTATGTTTGAAATTTTTCCTTTAGTTATTATTGGTTTATCTATTTCACATATATTGACCTCTGTGAAAAGGAAGTTCAAAAATATTTTGCTAACGTAAACATGGGTAATTTAACTGTGACGGTTTGTTAATCCCATAGATTTGGTTTTGAATCATTTTGGCCGAGACGACTTGGTGATTCAAAAATTCATTTAAGGTTATCATAAAATAACATGAAATATATGTTAAAATGATTAGCTGAGTTGTGACATCTTGTTAATTCCTTTATTCTTTAGAATCATTTCGACTGTGACAGTCCGATGATTTTAGACTATTTAGTAATAATAAACAAACAAACAAAAAATCAAAGTTTTATTTAAAATTATTGATTTTGGGTTAATTTAAAACAGAATAAAAAATTAAGGCTAAATTACAATTTACTACCTTGTACCCCTATTCAGAAAATCACCCCCTACTTTTAATTGAAATAATTAACCCCCTCAAACTATATCATTAAAGCAATTAAGCATATCGGTTAAAAGAAACATCCAACTCTGTTAACTATCTCACGTGATGATCGAAAATCGTCCAATCTTCTTTTCTAAAAATCAAGAACTGTTCTATTTCTTGATCACCTTATCATTCTTTCTATCGTTCGCTAAAGCATCTAAAATCCCATTTTCCAACAGATGCTTTTTTCATTGGGTTGGTTATATCGATTTTTAAGTGACGATAATTAATTTCTCCCACAAAAAAAATATATATGTATATAGTTGTGTTCCCTAATCTTCTTGTTTCTGGGTTGCTTTTTGGTTTGTAGTTCTTTACATCTTTTCTGGTCAAATATCATTCCTATAAATTGTTTTTTTTCTTCTTCTTGCTCTAGAATAGTGGATCTTGGGCGTTTTTTAAAACTACTAGTGTTCTGTTTTCTGTTAAATTTTTTGGCATGTTTAAATTAAAATTTCTTTGTTTTGCCTCCATCACCATTATCAGCATGCAATATCTTCTTGATCGCCTTTCGTGACTTCCTATACATTTTGACGTTCCTTTGGAGTCTTCTTGAGCTTGGTCTCTCATGAGAGGTTTTCCTAGTGGCCTAACAACAAAATGATGTTTCTCTTTTCTTCTTCAATTGTCCAAACCTTCAAGTGTTTATGTTTTTCTTGTTTGATAAAAAAAATGTACTAATAGTTTATTGTGGTGGTTAATTCCTGGCTTCCATTTTGAATAAAAGAACTGAAAATCTATCAAATCTGAATTTAGCACTATCAAATCCATATTTTTATTAATGAACTCCACCAGCATTTTTCATTTCATTTTGTCGCATGCATTTGCATGTTCCTAACAATTATCAACCATGCTTAAAGCTTTTCAAATTGTTAATTTGTATCAGAGTCTTTTCTTTTTGAAGATTATTTTAATATAATAAAACTTATCAAATACATTAATCATTATTACATTAGTCTGTCACAGTAGACAATAGTATACAAGAATAAATGCAAATCCAATACAGCTATAGATATCTTAAGTCTCAATTGTTTTTCATGGAAGATAGGATCTCTAAATGCAATTTAAAGTTATTTAATTTCAATCGAAAATAACTGCCTGATTGAGAAAGATAGGGAATGTTACGATGGCAGAAAATTGAGGTGGGTTGAATATTTCCCTAGCTAATTGCGGCACACTCCAACATGAACCATTGGGAGTCAATACAGAAAAGGAAGAAGAGAATGAAGAATAATAATTTCTTTTATAGGAAAAATTAGGCTGAGAAAACCCTAAAAGGAATGATACGGTGAAGAAGATATCGAAACATGAACAATTTTTGTTTTTTGGAAAGGAAGAGAAGGACTTAGTGGAATATTTTTTGATCACGTGAGAGTTAACAGAATTAGATGTTTTCTTAACAGATATGCTTAATTGCATTAATGACATAGTTTAAGGGGGTTTATTGTTTCAATTAAAAGTACAAGGTGGTTTTCTGGAGAGGGGTCTAAGTATGGGGTGTTAAATTATAATTTAGCCAAAAATTAATTAGATATCAACGGAAATGGGAGTCAGCTGAGCCGTGACGGCTTGTTAACTCCACATATTTATTTTGACTCATTTTGACCGTGACGGTTTGGTGATTCAAAATAAAATCAAATTTAACACAAAATTTACGATAACAAAAAATATTAATATGAATATTATTATTCTTTAAAAGAAAGGATTAGCTGAGTTGAGACAGCTTGTTAATCCTGCAATTATCATTTCAGATTATTTTAACTGCGACAGTTTGATATTCCGAAACCATCAAATCCAAAACTTTCAAATTATTTTCTTTAAAACTACTTTCAAAATTAAAATCAATCAACACACAAATATTTTCTACAGAACGACGTAGCTTTGAGTTCCCTATTGCACCGAGGGATACGTCGGAGCGGGACTCTTCCCGTCAAGTACAAAAATAAAATTTCAAAATTAGTTTTCTTTTCCAATGATCAATTTTATTTATTTAGGGTGAAATAAATATTTAAAATATTATCAATAATTTGCACAATTAATATAAGGTAACCGTTTTAACAGACGATGTAGGGTGCTAATACCTTCCCTACTCGTACTCGACTCCCGAATCCATTTCTTTTGTTTTCAAAGACCAGTTGCCTTTAAAAAAGGTTTTTTCAATGTTTTCCTAAATAAACTTTGGTGGCGACTCCATTGTTTTCTGTTGAGAGTTCGAATAAGGAAACAAGGTTAACGATTTTCTTGTCTGTTGGGAGCAGAGAAAGAGTAAGAGACTTTTGGGTGAATTCTTCTTCTTTAAATTTCATCTTCTCCCTCTCTCAGGTCTTCCCTCCCTCTACATGCCTTGTCTTTATTTTCGCTTTTTCTTCTCTGAATTCTTGTTTGTTTTGTAAATTGAAAACAAGGTTTCTTTTAATTCTTTTTGTTTTGTAAATTGAAAACAAGGTTTCTTTTATTTCTTGTTTGTTTTGTAAATTGAAAACAAGGTTTCTTTTATTTATTTTTTTGTTTTGTAAATTGAAAACAAGATTTGATTTCTGTTGTCAATGTTCTGAGCATTTTCCTTGTGTCTTGTGATATCTTTCGCATTGGAATCAAAAGTTAACGACATAATGTACTTAAACAAACAAAAAAGATAAGAGAAATAAAAAATAAGACAGAGCAAAGCCTTTGGCAGCTGACAAAGAGGAAGAGAGTTTCACTGTATGAATTGTGTTTTCCATTATTGGTTTGAATTGAATTGAATTGAATTAAACCCTTCACTATTTTCTAATAGTTACCGTTACTCTCCAAGTATTTTCTTCTGTTTCTTTCTTCTTCTTTTTTTATTTTAATTCTCGTTAATTCTTTTTTTAAAGACAACCATGAATATTAAAATTTTGTTTTCCATTAATTCTCGTTAATGCTTTCATTACTCTTTTTTTTTTTATGTTTTCAGTTTTGGACTTCACTGTAGCTTGCTAGAACACTTTGCTCATATTCATGCTACTTGTTATTTGTCAGTGGATTACTTTAGTTTTCTGAATGGTAAAGTGATTGCATTTTGTTTTGTTCATCCGCAGTGAGTTTAATTTGTTAACCGTGCATTTGATTTTGATTATGTATGCTAAAGATTTTTTTCTTTTGACTAATGACCATTCGCGGATAAAAGAATATTTTTAGAAGTTAGCTTATATTCAAAATTTGCATATTAAAATATACTTACTTTTAATAAATTATATAATGCATTGTTTCTTTGTTTGGTTAAAGAGCCATGAAAACAAGGTTTCTTTTAATTCTTTTTGTTTGGTGCATTTTCTTTGTGATTTTGTGATATTTGATCATTGATTGGTTATGCATACAAGTGTCTGATGTTCTCTTATCTACTAGTTACCATCACTGTCCAACTCTTTTCTTCTGTTTCTTTCTTTCTTTTCTTTTAATTCTCAGCTTGCATTGTTTCTTTGTTTGGTTAAAGACAGCCCTGAAAACAAGGTTTCTTTTAATTGTTTTTGTTTGGAGCATTTTCTGTGTGATTTGTGATATCTAATCTTTGCTTGGTTTTGCATATAGGTATCTATTGTTCTCCTCTCTAATAGTTACCATCACTTTCCAAGTATTTTCCTGTGTTCTCTTTCTCCTTTTATTTTTTGTCATGTATTGTTTGTATGTTAGGTGAAAGAGGCCCTAAAAACGAGGCTTTTTTGTTTTTGGTAAATTAAAAATAAGGTTTATGTTGTCAAAGTTTGGGCTTTTTGCTCTGTGATTTGTGATATCTGACCATTGCTTGGTTTCTCATATAGGTGTTTATTCTGGTTCAAGATGACTCTGGAGAATTATTTGATAGATGAAGATGGGGCTGGAGACCATTTTCCAGTGGGTATGCGTGTTTTGCTTGTTGACGATGATCAACTTTGTCTCGAAGTGTTAGGGAACATGCTTCGCAAATGCCAGTATCAAGGTTTGTCACCTCTCTCTTCCTATTCTCTTAATTCGAGTCTGCATTGATTTTTTGCTCATCAACTGCATTGATTTTTGCTTGTGGGGTCATGCTTTATTTTGCGTAGTGATAAACTGAACATATAGTTCGTTGCCACTCTAAAGTTTTAAATCTATTGGCAGATATTGTGTCCTGTCGCTTATATATACATCACTTGACAATTTTCTAAATTTTCAACTCAGAATTTCTTTCTTTGCAAGACGAGCGTTTTCTTAAATCTTTTAAAGTTGAAACTTCTTTTGAAATTAGAATATTTTAAAAAGTTATTTTCTTGTGTTGCCAAATATTGTTGGGAATTCAAGTATGAGTAATAACAAGTTCTTTACAACCCATTACTGTGAGAAATATAAATTTGTTATTGGGAGAATCAATATACTTTGATATTGCATGAGGTCTTTAACTTTTACGATGCTGAATAAATCTAACATCTGATTTATATTTGTTGCAGTTACTACAACTATTCAGTCAATTGAGGCATTAGATATGTTGAGGACAAATAGAAATATGTTTGACCTCGTTATTACCGACGTAAATATGCCACACATGGATGGACTTAAGCTACTAGAGATAGTGGGACATGAAATGGACATACCTGTCATAAGTAAGCTCAAATACTCTTGTCTTAGCATGTATTCAACAAGTTATTTACTTCTCCTTATTATGAGATTACTGATATTTATTATTTCATTGTTTATTTTTTTTGGTGATCTAGTGTTGTCAGAATTGAGTGATATAGAGGTCGTGAAGAAAAGTGTTATACTTGGCGCATGTGACTATATAATTAAACCTCCTCGAATCCAAGTACTGCAGAATATATGGCAACATGTAGCGCGAAGAAAGATTGATTGCAAAGGTCAAAATACGCACTTCAATGAGGAGAAAGCATGCAATATAGCGGGGGAAGGTAGTCAAAGTATCACATTAGAAAGTAATGCTGACCATAATCAAATGCATGGTAAGAAAAGGAAGGAACCGTGTGTGGAAGAAGAAAATGGTGAAATGAATGCAAAAGAGAATGAGGAACCTTCAAATCAAAAGAAGCCTCGTTTAAAATGGAATGATGACTTGCAAACAAAATTTCTTGCTGCAGTCAATTCACTGGGCATTGATAGTGAGTTTACATGATAATGAAATTTAATTTTCCTTTTCTGTTTGACATGTGAAAATTGAACTTATAATGTGAACTTGATACCTCAACATGGATATTGACATTTCTAATATGATCTTTCTTCAACTGTTATTGTAGAGGCAGTTCCTAAGAAAATACTTCACTTGATGAATGTTGAAGGTCTTACAAGAGAAAATGTAGCAAGCCATCTACAGGTATGAATTTTAAATTCCTTATTTATCATAAATTTTTGGACTGTTTATGCTTAAAATACAAATGATCTTGTTTACTAAAAAAAATACAAATGATATCTACTTTTTGGCATATAGACCCCTTCGGTTTCAATTTTGGCACATGATCAAAGTTGAAGGGGTAATATACTTTTTAACTTTAAGCAAATGATGGTTTAAAACTAATGGTTTATTAAAATTTTGAACAAAGTTAATTAGGAAATATCGATATCCATAAAAATGCATAACTTTAATCCATAACTTGTATTGCGATAACAGTGCATAAGCTCACTCTTATTTTGTATTGCAGAAATACAAACTTGGCTGCCTCAAGAAGACAACTCAACAAGCTAGCATGGTTGTTGCGTCGCGTTGTAGTGATTCTTACGTGCAAATGAATTCAATAGATAGATATGGAAATTTTGACACCTCATTTGGATCAAGAAGAATCGATCCCTCTGCACCGGTCCAATCTATTGAGACACAAAATATAAACAACTCCATAGAAACACTTGGAAACATCCAGCCGTGCATGTTTTCTGCAAATCAAAGCTCAAGTTTATCACAGGGAATTCCAAACTCAATCGAGTTTAACCAATTTCAGCAGAGCAACTATATAACTAGTTTTGAGCAGTTTAGTTCAATTGATGGGTCAAATGGATATGTGGTTTCCTCTAACTTTCCTGGCAATTCTTCACTTTTGGATGAGGTTTTATATGAAGATCAACTGCCTCTGAATAGCTTGAAGTTTTCCTCCTCTAATTCTCATATAGGGAACAATCCAGTTGATTTTTCTTCCACAAGTGCTATTGGTATTCCTTTGGAGGATGCTAGAGGGGAGCTGCAATGCAAAGAAGGCTTACTTGACAATATCTTAAAGGATTCAAGCAAAAAGAGAATTGATGCATCCTTGGTTGGCCAACTGAGTGAGGCTGCTCCATCAATCACCCAATCCACAAAAGTTGATAAATCCTATTTAGATGCAGGAATGAAGTCAAATGATGCCTACATTTTGCAGCCCCAAGAAGAACTCACCGAGGAGGATATTTTTGGTACTTTACATGACATAGTGAGTGATATTGGTTAAACAGGCATGATCAAATATTCTTGTATTTGTTTAATTTTTAAGAGAAATTAACACTTCCCATTTTATCTTTCTTTAAATGGTTTTCTAATTCCATCGGTATTGTCTAACCTGATTCAAATCTGCTCCATCTTTCTTTGTTTAATTCCATCGTTTTGGTCTAAAATGAAAACACTTAAGTTTTGTCTTATTCACAACATTTTATGTAAGACTGTTTATGATGCAGGATTTCAATATATTAATGGATGGAGAAAAGGGATTTGATGATTACTTGTTGGATCATGAACATATTTCCTTCTGATTCACCAAGAGTCTTGCAGCATCAAAATGGTGGAAGTTGTACCAGCATCAAATGGATCATGAATATATTGGACATAATATGATTTAGTTGTCTTCATTTTTTTAACATTCAGCCAATTTTGTTAACTTTTGTGGTATTCATGTAACTAATGTTACTCATCCTTCATTAGACAACAATGAATAAAAATAAAAAACCTTTCTATCACACTTTTTTACCCTCATCTTTTTTTTTTAACCTGAGCAAACAACCATAATGCGACATGTGATTTGAACCTACTAAAGATGTTGTATGCTGGTTTCAACGAATTCACGTTTATTAACATGAGCCAATTAGAATTAAATTAGAATAAAATCCTATTTTTTATCTTAAACAACTATTAAGCAAGCTTTGCTTGCTAAA